CTTGCTCAGTTGGGGTTATTTAGTGTTTAGCAATGTTGTTGATCTGTGTTGTGCTACTTTCATGTTATCACTGTGAAGCTGCTTTGATACAATCTGTATTGTGAAAAGCGCTATATAAATAAATGTGACTTGACTTGATTGATGAATTATATGAGACATGATTCATTCCATCATTCCTTCTGATGCTCATCATATGTATGTTGCTGTAACTAGTAGTTCACACATTACACGCACACTACACACACATTAAATTACATTCTAAACCTAAAATCAACTGATGGCTAACTATTTTAAAGCAGAAATTAAATTGACTAAATGAAAAATGAAAATAAACCAAAACAAAAGCACAAATGTTGTCTTGTATAAGGGAAGAATAAAACTTTGTGTAATATCATTTGAACGCAGTAAATGATATTACACTAATGAGCTATTCCGACTTCACTGCTAGTGCTCTCATAACCATGATGAGTTACACTGAGCATTGTAAAACTACACTTCATTTCTATTCTAGCAAAACATATTTTAGCAAGATTTAGTCAGTTGTCGCACTCCTACTCTGCCCGTCTGGGGCTCGCTGACTGACTGAAGTCTACAGGACACGAGTAAACAGATGTAAACAATGCCTGATGTTCCCAGAGTTCAGCTCACCGTTTGTGTGCGTGTCCCTTTAAATGCAAATGAGCAGTTACTCCGCCCCCTTTCAAGAAGAGGGCGGGGCATCAAGATCTCATGCAACAACCCAACAGGACAATCTCTCTCCGTTTATCATCCACACACACACACACACACTTCATCTGTACTACACAACTAAAGAGGCTACAAAAGTGAATATTTCAGCTGATGGTGCTTTAGCTCTCCCTAACACACACTCTTTGTGCGTCTCACACACACCGCACGGCCAGGCTAATGTGATTAGCAGTGCTAGTGTGTCCAACTGCGCGAAACTTAGATACACGACGACACAAACCGGACGAAGATAATGTGTGAGAGTGTGTGGTCGAATCTCACGGGCCGCGAGCTGTAATCCCACTGACACCGAATACACAGTGCAACACACACACACACACACACGCACTCATTAACCATCACACACACACACAACAGCAACAAAAAGGAATCAGTTTCTGACATTCATGCATAAATACAGCTGTGTGTGTGTGTGTTTCAGGAGGGTGTGTGTGTGTGTCTGAGAGAGTGTGTGTGTTTTAGGAGGGTGTGTGTGTGAGAGAGTGTGTGTGTGTGTGTGTGTGTGACAGAGAGATTGTGTTTGTGTTTCAGGAGAGAGTGTGAGTGTGTGAGTGAGTGTGTGTGTGTGTGTGTGTGTATCTGGATGTCATACAGTGGATTGCCTCCGTCAGTGTTAAGAGGAGTTAAAGGGAATCCTGGAGCTGACCTGCAGTGATCCGGGCAAACCAGGACACACACACACACACACACACACACACACACACACACACACAAGTGAAGCGCACAGCTGCCCACATGACACCTACACTGTACAAACACACACAGATGAACAAAGATCAACACAAAACACACACAGGCGAGTGTGTGAGGATGATGAAGTCGGTTCTGATTGTTATGATCACATCAAATACAATATCAATATCGAACACTGCAGAACACACACTTCAGAAGTGCTGAGCATCACCAGAACACACACACACACACACACGTCCATTACTTCTCTCTCTCTCTTCTGTCTGTCTATCCCTCTCTCTTCTGTCTATCCCTAATTCTCTCTCTGTCTGTCTATCTCAATTCGATATAAATGAGCTTTATTGGCTTGACTTGTACAGTGTGTCCAAAGCATTGGTCTTTATATGCAATGAACAAATAATCAATAAATTGTAAATAAATAATCAATGTCTGTCTCTCTCTCTCTCTCTCCCACAACAGCATCAGTGCTGCAATAAGACAACATGAATTACAGTTCACAACCCACATATATATATACACACATACTGACATATCTACACACTCTAATAACACACACTGTCATACTGTCTCACATACGCAATCTACACACACAACACACACACCAACCAACACATACACACACATACACACACACACACACACACATATACACACACACATACACACATACACAATCCATACGTAACAGACACATCTACACACAATTTTCACAGAGCGCGCGCACGGGCGCGAGCGCAGGCCGCATCTCTCTCTTTCTCTGTGTGTGTTCGGCGTCTCCGCAGGCCAGCGCGCGCGTCAGTGCGTGTATCGCGCCGCGGGGCGTCTTAACGCGTTAACGCGTCCCTCACCTTTGCTTTGGTGATCATGTGCGTGGCGAGTTTGACCACAGCGAAGTTGCCCTTCCCGATGGTGCGCTCCATCTCGTAGTATCCGACGCGCACGGCGGGCGGGCGACTGACGCTCGCGTTCGGGTGGTGTATGGGGGCATTGGGCTGCGCTCGCTCGCGGCTCGGGTTGGGGTTCGGGTTCGGGTTGGGGTTCGGGAGCCCGGCGGCGGGCCCGCTCGACACGGCCGCCATCTTCTGCCCTCTCTGCGGGAACAACAAGCGAGGACGCGCAGCGCGCTCCCCGGACACGCCCCCGCCGTGCGTCACGACGCGAGCTCCGCCCCTTTCCGCAGCGCGCTCTCATGGATGTCGCCGTGGCAACCGATAACGTAACAATGACTTCATTGCCCGCGCGAGCGCGTGTGTGTCTCGGTCGCCTTGGCGACGAGACGTGTGCGCGCCTGCGTGTTTGGTTTATTATATTCCTCAGATCTCTCGCTGTCTAATGCTCGAATACGCTGAGGAAACTATTGCCATGACAACAAGAATTTCCCTGCATACACCCCTCCAACCGGAAACGCGCTCGGAGACAGGAATGTGGGAACCGTGAATGCGCAACTCCTCATGCACGAGCCTTAGAGCATGCGTATCTATCTATCTATCTATCTATCTATCTATCTATCTATCTATCTATCTATCTATCTATCTATCTATCTATCTATCTATCTATCTATCTATCTATCTATCTATCTATCTATCTATCTATCTATCTATCTATCTATCTATCTATCTATCTATCTATCTATCTATCTATCTATCTATCACAGTTGTGGTAAATTTGTAGTAGCCTATAGATGCTCAAGCCATTATTATAATAACTTTGATGATCTCAGTTGGAATGACCCCACAGGTTTTAACATTTTGTTACATATCATGTAAAAAAAGGAGACCCAATGCAACTCTATTATATATTTAACTTATATAATAGAGTTGCATATAAATAATACAATTCATTTATTAATACCATCAAGTTACAGTAGTGTTTTTTTTTTGGAATTGTAACACCATTCCAATATAATAACCAAAGGCAGTATCAATTTTAACAATACATTTTCTGTGTGAACTAACATTTATGATCATAAGTCATCAACAAGAGCCAGGATTTATCGCACAAACAATAATAATAAATCAGATCCAATCATAACCAATCAATAACCGATCATATCCAATCATAATTATGGTATTATAGGTTAACCTATCATATCCGATCATAACCGATCATATCAAATCAATAATGATCATATCCTGTCATTAGCCCCCGTCAGACGCCCCGCTGCATCTTCTCCTGCAGGTGTCGCTGTGGGGACAGAAACCTGGCATTCACACTCTTTAGAGTAGAGTATGCTGTTCACATTCCGATAGCAATCAATAATAGAACTAACTGAAAAGATGGTTAAAAATTAGCTCACTATTGCTAGCAGTAGCAGCTCTGAAATCGCCTACCCTACCTATTTCACGTTTTATTTATTTATTTATTATTATATTATTTTTTATTATTTTCTCGTTTCACAGTTTTTAAGGAGGCACTGCCACCCCTGCCTGATATAGATATGGGCCTATATACTGTACATGATTTTTTTTTTCAACTGTATATACTTATTTTTTTTTTATTTATTTTTTTTTATTCAACAATTGCATAGTTTACAAGAACATTCCTCTCCATTATAAAAGAAAACACATTGTGCAGTTTCCAATATTGGAGGTATAACATAAAACATAAAGAGCATAACAGAAAACATAACAGACTTACATCACATTTAGCCAGGGGTAGTACAGATTTACAAAAAAAATATGAAATTGTTTACACACATTCACAGTTTTTATTGCCTTTTGATTAAGAGAAAGCTTAATAGTGTTGACATATTGCTTGACCTCATTATTAAAAGCAATAAAAGATAGTATGGAATGTGTAAATTTACATTTATGAATGTAGAATTTTGCTAAGAGAATAATCAGATTAATTATACTGTACATGATCGTACACCGCAGCTCAGGTTCTGGACGTCAGAGTTCATCCAATCAACCGGAAGCATCTAAAAACTGTGACGATTGACTTCCTGCATCAGGGTATCAAAACCATAAACAGTAAATCAAAACGTCAGCAAACCCTCAGCCGCAGATAGTGGAGGAAACCACACAAGCACATATATGCATTCAGTGTGTGTTTGTGTGTGTTTATATACTCTCACATATGTACAACGTGTACAGAAGCGTCTCTCATCACAAAACCAAACATCTTTCTCTCAATTAATTTCTCGGTTGCAAGGCATTTATACAAAATATTGTATATCAGAACATGTCAGAATACTTACATTTACAGTCAGGGTGTAAACATATTATTATGAATAAATCACTATGATTCAAAGCCCAGGTTGTTCTGAAATCAGTGCTTTATTAATGTTTATGTGTGTTTAATGTAAGTATGTGGGTCTCACAGATGAACGTAAACAAACTCCTGTCATGAGCGTCAACGTGACCAGTCACGTGTATCATTCCGCTCTGCCATTGGCTGAACAGAGGATCCATCCCGACCGCAGCTGCAATTCAATAAAGATTGAATTGTGTGTATTATGAACTCTGTCATTTGTGTAAATAATTGTTATTTTAGTGTAAAATAATTGTGAAAGTGTTGCCGTCCGTGGAGTCGGCGCGCGTGTCACGTGACTCGTGCGCGATGACGTCACGTCCGAACCGATGGTCAGTATATCAACACAACAGCGCGAGGGCGAGCGGATCACAGCCGCGTTTACCTCAGTTTTACATCAAACTGCAGATTACGGTGAACACTGTTTAGGGTTGTGTTCATAAACATCACAGGAGCTCAACGCGAAACACGGTCAGTCTATACATTCACCGTAGAAACATCGGTCTGTTTACCTGCTGGCTGGTGTCATTCTTATGTTCTGACTAGATATGTGTGTGTTTCTGTCACATTATTATCCATAACATAAATCACAGTTAATTCTTTATAAATTCCTCGGACTATCGCCTCACACTGTATTTGTTAACATGTTTACAGTTAATAAAAACAATATATTTGTCTACAATTACCTCAGTATTAATGTGTTATTCGAGCTGTAAAGCTGAAGTGTGTACCGTAGACCGTAGTACAGATGAAGTGTGTACTATTGATGAAGTACAGATGAAGTGTGTAGTGTTGATGAAGTACAGATGAAGTGTGTAGTATTGATGTAGTACTGATGAAGTGTGTAGTGTAGTACAGACGAAGTGTGTAGTATTGATAAAGTACACATGAAGTGTGTAATACAGATGAAGTGTGTAGTGCAGATGAAGTATGCTAACTCTGGCTCTGGCCGTAGCCCTCAGGCTGATGCCGGATCCAGCATGCTGGGGTTCTGCTGGGTTTCGGGATGGCTGGTCCTGATGCTGGGGTTCTGGAGTCCAGTGAGCGGAACCAGTGTGGTCAACCAGAGAGACGCTCAGTTCGACATGACGTACGACGACATGGTCACCAGCGACAACCAGACCATCTACTCCTACAACCACACCGTCTCCAGGAACAAGGCAGGTCCATCAGAACCGGCGGGGCTTCCCAGCAGACGGGCGGCCCATAATAACCCCTCTCTCTCTCTCTCTCAGACCGAGGGCGTGCGAGTGTCCGTGGAGCTGTTGTCGGAGAGCGCGGTTAGTCCGGTTCTGTTCGTGGTCCGGCAGAAACAGGCGGTTCTGTCCTTCCAGGTTCCACTCATCCTCAGAGGCCTGTGAGTACAGCCGTTGCCTAGCAACACACCATCCCATAATCCCTCATCCTCGGAGGCCTAGGTTAATATATGATGGCGAACATTAGCCCGCTTTAACCCGCTGGAGCGAGAGTGTGTGTCAGTGTACTGGACCCGCAGCTCATGTAAAGTGTTTGAACGCATACACACTTAATATTATTCCCTCTGTCTCTATAATACACTAATCCCACAGCAGAACACACACTCGCTCTTCACTGAATAACCTCTGTAACTATATCTCTAATGTAGATTTGACTCATAAACTGCAGTGTTATTCTACACTTGATCACAGTTTCTGAACCTGAAGGTTTATTTCAAGCGCATCTTTGTTCAGTTGTGTCTATTTGCTGATTGTGTGTGTGTTCGTGTTTAATAACTGAGTGTTTATTGTGTGTAATAATGCCTCACATGAGTCACGGTCCAGCGCCCGACGATGATCAGGAGTGTAATGTGGACTCTGATATGATGATGTGTGTGTGTGTGTGTGTTCATGTGTGCACTTTGATCTCTCAGTTCCTCATGAGCTTCTGTTTCTGCACTGAAGCAGTAAAGTGTGTGTGTGTGTGTGTGCGCAGGTATCAGAGGAAGTACCAGTACACACAGGTGGGCCGCACGCTGTGCCAGCCGCCCACTAAAGCCGTGGCAGAGACTCAGTTCTTCTACGTGGACGTGTCGACGCTCTCCAATGCCGACATCCACTATCAGCTGAGAGTCAGTCGCGTCGACAGCTTCACACTGCAGTGAGTCACACACACACACACACACACACACACACACACTCGTATCAGCCTGAGACTGGAACATCTGTACTGAAACAAACAAAAAGCTTTCTTGTCAATTCCAACCCAAATACAGAATAAATATAGATATTTTTAATTATACATGGATTCAATATTTATTGACACCCTGTTTTAAAGGAGTAGTTCACTTTTCAAAAAAACTTTTGCTGATAATTTTATCACCCCCAAGTCATTCAAGATGTCCATGATGAAAACATTCCAGGATTTTTCTCCATATAATGGACTTCAGTGGGAACCAAACGGTTCAAGGTCCAAAAGAAACTTTCAGTGCAAACTGCAAACTTGTTCAATGGGCTTTAAACGACACCAGACGATGAATAAGGGTCTTATCAAGCGAAACGATCGCTCATTTAATAAATAAATAACAAAGTTTAAGTTTTATAAGCTCAAACGCTCGCCTTGCTCTGTTCTGTGGTGCGCGTTCGTGACTCTCCTGTTCGAACTCATTCAACAAAATGAACAAATCTTTTTCCGAATCAATTCGTTCGTTTCTTTCGCCGAATGAACCAAATGACTCGGAAAAAGATTTGTTCATTTTGCTGAACGAATTCGAACAGGAGTGCGTTACAGAACAGAGCAAGGCGAGCGTTTGAGCTTATAAAACTTAAACTTTGTTATTTATTTATAAAACGAGCGATCGTTTCGCTTGATAAGACCCTTATTCATCGTCTGGTTTCGTTTAAAGCCCTTTGAACAAGTTTGCAGTTTGTACTGAAAGTTTCATTTGGACCTTGAACTGTTTGGTTCCCATTGAAGTCCATTATATGGAGAAAATCCTGGAATGTTTTCATCAAAAACCTTAATTTCTTTTCGACTGAAGAAAGAAAGACGTGGACATCTTGGATGACACGGGGGCGAGTAAATTATCAGCAAAAGTTTTTTCAAAAGTGAACGACTCCTTTAACCAGCACAGAGAACACAAACTCGGGAATCCAAGAATATTTGTAAAGCGTTATCAGCTCGTGTGAACTTCAGAAGCGTGGATCTGTGAAGCGTCACCATAAACGAGTGTGTGTCGAGTGTCAGATGAAACACAGTAAACACTGCCGTGTTCTCTGGCTAATGAACAGTGTGAGTGAGTGTGTGTGTGTGTGTGTGTGTGTGTGTGTGTGATATTCTCCTTTTCAGGAATGCTGTGCTTTTCTCTTTTTGTCTACAGGACAGACAAGAAATTCAGCTTCAACGCCACGCCGTCCCAGCCACAGGTGCACACACACACACAATCTCAAACAACCTCACACACACACACACTCACTGTTGATTAGAGGAGGGAGTCAGTGAGCTGATGTCGGTGTGTGTGTGTGTGTGTGTGAGAGCAAACGGGTGTGTGTTTGACATCCTGCTCCTGTAGGATCTGTTTAACACGAGTTCACACACCAATCACTGCCCTTTTCAACACTGCATTGTACAAACACATCTTCTTGTGTTCCTCCTGCCTGACGAAAGTCACACCGCTTTGGAACAACACTAGGGACAGTGAGTGATGACATCATTTCCTGTTTGGAAATGTAACGAGAGGATAGTTTAACTATGGCAGATGTTGTCCAGCAGAGGTCAGTGCAGATCTGTGAACGCTTTAGGACTGGTATGATGAACAGTGTGTGTGTGTGTGTGTGTGTGTGTGTGCAGTTCTTCAAGTATGTGTTTCCTGACGGTGTGGACACAGTGATCGTGAAGGTGAACTCGCAGAAGAACTTCCCCTGCTCCGTCATGTCCATACAGGACATCCTGGTGAGAAACACACACACACACACACACACACACACTGGTGTCAGAGTTTGTGCTCACATCTGTGTGTGTCTCTCTCTCTCGCTCTGTCCCTCTCTCTCTCTCTCTCTCGCTCTGTCTAGTGTCCGGTGTTTGATCTGGATAATAATGTGGCGTTTATTGGAATGTATCAGACTATGACCACCAGAGCTGCCATCACAGTGCAGGTAACACACACACACACACACACACACACACACACACACACACACTCACTCTCTCTGTCTGTGTGTGCAGAGGAAGGATTTCCCCAGCAACAGCTTCTATGTGGTGGTGGTGGTGAAGACTGAGGACGAGGCGTGTGGAGGACCGCTGCGCTTCTACCCGCTGCTGCCCGGTCAGTGCCCATACCCGTTAGCTGCGCTCACACCGGCACATTTGCGTCGATCGCGACTAGTTGCACGCTTGAACATTTTTAATCCGCTCGCGTCAAGGCGAAATCCGCTTCTTGTGGGAGGGGCCAGTGCTGTTTGCAGGATGGCTGACGTTGATGGAGAGAGTCACCGCTCCGGCGTGGGGGGCGTCGTCACCAGACTCGGGTCCACCTGACCCTCCGGAGGAACGGCTCCTGGATGACGGCCGCTGGTGTCCCACGCCCAGGCTGATGAGGATCACCCATGTCGAATGAGTCTGCCCCCGTTTATCATGTCACTTCACCACATGACAGCAGCAAGAAGGCTCCTGATTGGTTAATGCGGCGCGAACAGACGCCAGAGGTCAGATTTTTCAATCCGGGGCATCAGACGTGAATTCGTTTCAAATGCGTGAATGCACAAAAGCACCCAATAAACTGTTATGGTGCCGTTTTATATATAAACAATATTCATATTTAATATTTATATTTAAACAATATGAATGTAAGCCAGAGGAGAACGGGCCCCCGACTGAGCCTGGGTTCTCCCAAGGTTTTTTCTCCATCCAATCTGATGGAGTTTTGGTTCCTTGCCACTGTCGCCTTGCTCAGTTGGGGTTATTTAATATTTAATATTTAATATTTAACAATGTTGTTGATCTGTGTTGTGCTACTTTCATGTTATCACTGTGAAGCTGCTTTGATACAATCTGTATTGTGAAAAGTGCTATATAAATAAATGTGACTTGACTTGACTTAAACTCACGGGCATGTAGCGCGTATCGCGCCAGACGCTCAATTTCCCTCAGTTGCGCGAACGAGCTGAAATCGCGGTGTGCTAATGAACGCTTCTATCACCGCAGGACCTCCAGATGCGCTTCAACGCGTCTTTACATCGACTTAACATGGAAATCATTCGCTCCAGACACTCAATTCGCTTTCGGTGTGAACGCAGCATTACACTGCAGCGGCCAATCAGAACCCTCGCTTTAATGACAGTGTGTGTGTGTGTGTGTCCTCAGACGAGCTGCTAGACCCCGGGAACCGCAGTAAGACTCTGGATGTGGTAGTTTCTCCTGCCATTAACTGTGAGCTGCACTCTACACGTTCGTTCGTTCAGTCGTTCGTTCAGTCGTTCATCCGTTCATTGATTGGTTCTGTGTTCTCCAGCGGAGGTGTACGTGATGGGGATGCTCTTCTGTCTGGGGATCTTCCTGTCCTTCTACCTGCTCACGTTCCTGGTGGCCTGTGTGGAGAACAAGAGGTACGACACACAAGAGTCAAGCAGAACACAACACTGTTGATTCAGTTCACTTCAAGGCAACACTGTTGATTCAGTTCAGTTCAAGACTAGTGTTGATTCAGTTCAATTCAAGACTAGTGTTGATTCAGTTCAGTTCAAGATAACAATGTTGATTCAGTTCAGTTCAAGACTGGTGTTGATTCAGTTCAGTTCAAGGCAACAGTGTTGATTCAGTTCAGTTCAAGACTAGTGTTGATTCAGTTCAGTTCAAGACTAGTGTTGATTCAGTTCAGTTGAAGATAACAGTGTTGATTCAGTTCAGTTCAAGGCAACACTGTTGATTCAGTTCAGTTCAAGACTAGTGTTGATTCAGTTCAATTCAAGACTAGTGTTGATTCAGTTCAAGATAACAGTGTTGATTCAGTTCAGTTCAAGACAACACTGTTGATTCAGTTCAGTTCAAGACAACACTGTTGATTCAGTTCAGTTCAAGACAAAACAGTGTTGATTCAGTTCAAGACAACAGTGTTGATTCACAGTTCAAGACAACGGTGTTGATTCAGTTCAGTTCAAGACAAAACAGTGTTGATTCAGTTCAAGACAACAGTGTTGATTCACAGTTCAATACAACACTGTTGTTTCACTTCAGTTCAAGACAACACTGTTGATTCAGTTCAGTTCAAGACAACAGTGTT